TCGGAATGTATCGATGATATTAGAATCACACTAGATCTATCATCTTTGCAAGTTTACCAATACAAAAGTAGGAGAGAAGTGGGCAATTTCTTACAATAATTTATAGATTATCAGTTTATGATTTTATTTCACATAAAAAGAATAGACTATCACAGATGAAGATGTAGATCTTCAATCAGATGATAATAACAAAGGTGTCTTTTGCACCAAGCGCAAGTTAGAAGAGTTCGTTCTTCACAATGAATAGCTGAGCAATAAAGATCATAGAATTTAAAGCAAACATCCTTTGGTTTGTTGATTTCACCAACTGTTTCGTTCAATATCTTGGCTTGTATAAATCCAGACTTGATGAGATTTTTAAATGGTGGAGCAGATAGTTGATTGTGGATGATGGAATGCATATTTATGAAATATTGGCGATCATTCAAGTTCATTTCTGTTCGATTGATATGAACGTAATGTTCGATTTTCTTGTGAAAGTATCGCCAGGAACGAAATAAAGATAAATCTTGAGGTTGAATATGACCAGTTGATCCTTCAGGAAAAACTAACAACTGACTGTCTTGATGTGGAAATACTGCTCTAAATTTTTTTAGATCAGTTTGAGTTGTCCAACAATCAAGGAAAAGAAGAAATTTTCGACCAACCAACGGACGTAGAACTTCATTCAAAAAAGTCCGATGTTTTTCGTCGCTGCTTTTACCAGACTTTGAAGCTCGTACTATGACATTTGGTGGTATGATTAAATCTTTTTCTACTCTTTTACCGAATTCATTTTCTGTTTCTTGAAGAATAAGTAAGAACTTGTTTAATAATTGACCATCAGCTGATGTAATAGGCTGGATCGTATAAGAGTGTGTCACATTATTTTTCTTTTTAACAGCAACTTCGGTTGTTCTTTCACCAGTGAAAGAAAGAGTTCTTGGAGAAATATATTCTTTCTGGAATGAACAATGATCGCTGTTTAAAATTTGATTAGGCGAATAATTCGAAATCAAAGATTTTTGGTTTTTGATCCAAATTTGAGCATCTAAAAGACAGGCATTGTTTACATAAAGAGAATTATACCGGGAGTTCGGATATATTCACATACCTTCTAAACTGCAAGCTTTTCTGTTTGAAGACACTCGAGTAATAAGTTTATTGTATCTTCTTGATGAAATTTTATTTTCTTTCTTGAACGTTGTAATAAAAGATTCACTGACTTTAAAATTATCCCAATTTAATTCCCTTGCCTTTTGAATTGCAAAAAGTTCTAAATCAGTATCATGAACAGCTTCTTTTTCAATAGTTCTCTTGATATAAAATTCATCCCACATAAATTGCTTGATTTGATCGAGTTTTTCAAGTCTTGTGCCGTTCTCTTTAATATATTCTCGAAATCTTGATATATAATTGGGAAATTTGACTTTTCGAAATCTATGTTTAATAGTCGTAAACTTATAATTAGGATGTTGATCAACCCATTCGATTATATCTTCCATTTCTTCTAATGTAAATTGATTATAAATATGCATTTCTTGATCATCATCAAAATCATCCATGTCATCGATACTTTCACATTCTTCATCAGTACTTTCTTCTTCGTCAGTTATTTCATCACATTCATCATATTCATCATTAAAGTCGAGAGTTTCGTACACATCGAGTTGATTAAAAGAGCTATCTGTAACGATAAAAGGAGAGAAGATGATGTAATGACAGACTGGAGGTGTAGCTTACCGCCACCCTCGATAATGATGTTTATTAGCTACTTCACATCTCCAGAATGTGTCTATTGCACATTCAACACACACTTATATATGATACAGAAACAATGGGAGAGAGACGACACAGAGAGAACAATAGAGAGAGAAAGAGGAAAGAGGAAAGAAGAAGAGCAGCGAGCCGTGACGCATATATCGGCACACTATCTTTAAATGATTTTAAAACTTCAAATAATTGCTGCGATGCAGCAATTTCATCAGCACTTGTTTTTGAAACATCATCAGAAAATTCTCTTTCTGTTAGATAAAGAAGATGCTTCGCGATGTTAATTAAATTCATTTATGTTTAATTCGATCAATTAGATCTCTCTTAAATGATAATGGTGATATTGAAAATGAAAGAGTTTTTTATTTTAAATATACATTTAATTGTGGCTTCGGATAACCAATCACAAAAGCAACTTACTAAATCATAAAGTTATGCATTAATGCACTTAATCTTTAGATATTCATCTAATGTCATGTTTGAAATATAATATGCATATCCTTTTCTACTTTGGCTTTAGTAAACTTGCAAAAGATGATAGATCTAGTGTGATTCTAATATCATCGATACATTCCGA